GTCTGTGCATCTGTTGCCATTGCACCGCCAACATCGTTAAAGCAGTGAGCTGGGTTTTAATCTGCTCACTAAGTTTAATGGGTTGCACAGGTGTAAATGAAAGTAGCTAATGGCAGTGTTCCCTGTCACTTTTTTTAGGTCTCTTTGTAATGCTTTTATTATGTGCACCAATACGGAGGTCACATTACTTCCATGTCAGTGCACATGACAAGTCGTTGTGCATATGGACAATGTGTGGCAGGGTGGGGCGAAGAGATTGGATGCAGGAGGCTGAAGGTACAGGCTGCTCTCTTACTGCAGCAGCTTGGGGCCAGGTGAAAGATGCCTCTCGTTTTGCTTCAGTGGGCCAGGCGGGGGGGGGTGGTCAGTCCCCTGCAGCTGGGGCAGGTCTGGGCTAGATAGGGTGGGAGTCAGGGAAGGTGCATATCACCCCTGTCCATGGCAGTCCTGATCCCCTTGCAAGGCTTAATAGGCAGCTGTGTATCCACATGACCATGCAGTTTAGCGGGAACCTAGGTTACTGGTAATACAAGTCAAAATCTAGTTGGGGGTTTTTCACATCAAGTTGTGTTGCATAATTTACTAATTACAATTTACAGGACTTCAGCATATACTTAACTTTTGACTTGAGAAATTACCAACTTATGTTAGCAATGTCTTTTGAGGCTAAACAGTGTTTGTTTGTTTGTTTCCATGTATGTCTCAGTAACTTTCAGAGGAAGTTTTTAGGAATGGCAGTTAAACAGACTCTGATCCTATAGACTTAAATACATGTTTAACTCATGTAAATAAAGCTGTCTAGTTTGTGTATCATGTATCTTGTATTCATTCCATTGATTTTGTTGGACATGTTGTAATTTGTCCATTTTTAATGCATTATTACAGAGCCAGTTGTATGCATTCGTTTAATGTAGAAATGAACTACATTAAAATTCCCCCGTATATATTTGGAGGCCATGCAGCCTTACTTTGTTCTTTGAGAAGTGGTGTTCCTGTCCATTCCATTATCCACTCTTTTCTCCTCTGTCGGAGTAGCTGGAGAGAAGGGGTGGGGGGGGTCAGCGGAGCTCTATTCCGGGGAGAGGGTGCCGCCCAGTCAGACCCTATGGATGCTGCTATGGGAAAATCTTAAGGACACCATGCACATACGCATGCAGATACCTGATAGGAATGGACATGAGAACAGCCTCTTGAAAAACAGTCATGAGAAGGAGAATAACAGTTTTTATTGATACCTCTGACTTAACCGTCAGGCTATGATTTACATACTATGACAAAGTAAAAGGAAGTAAATATAACTTTGTGGAAGCATTCTGTTAGTGGTGGATCACTTTGTAGGTTTAACACCTGCTTATTTTTGGCACACTAGAGAAACTATACATACTTTGGCTTTGTTTTAAAGGGTAGTCACTAATTACAGGGAAAATTAGACTCTGCTTTGGAATATTCATTGATGGGACACTTAAGTGTAATGCTACCCTAAAGTTATTAAAAGTGCCATCTTTAATTCCAGTGTCTCAGTATATTCTCTAAGTGCATTTAACGAGGATTCTTTCCTTCTTGTGATTAGTCACGGATTAAATATTCTATATGTCAAATTAGACGCATTCAGTCTTCAGTGGGGTTGTGGAAATATGGGGAGTTGAAACTTTGCTGGCAGAAGCTTTATTACTAGTGATGCTGTGAACATGAATAAAGTAGCTATCATGAATTCCAAGTACACTGAGTCCTGGATGTGTTAGTAGGATTGGTGGTTAGAAAATGCATCTTGCATCATGGATAAATATAGGTTACAAGAAGCATTGAACCCCCTGCTGTTGTAGTCCCTTTCAGAATAGAATCGTACTTCAACCAGGCCTATGACGACACCTGCCTCCAGAGTAAAAAAATGGTCTCCAAGAGCATCAGATGTAATTATGAATGGAGATACTTAGAAAAATCAGCCATGTGACCTAGAAAAAGATTCAGCTGTTTGTTAAAACAGTCAAGAATGTGTCTTGGTTTGAGCACTAGTCTATGCAAAATTAAAATTAATTTTGAAGAATTCAGCTTTTAACTTCATAGTATCTATACATTTTCTTTACACCCGTCAGCTATGGTACAGAGCTATAAATTTCCATAGTTCAAATCTGAATATAATAATAATTAGAAATATGTCACAGCAAACACCCATGTAGCATATTGATGGGGAGTGAGAGCTGTTATTCTGGAAGTCCGGATTCAATCCATTCTTTCCCCTTAGCAGCCTAAGAAAGCAGCTAAAAAAGAAAAACCGAAGCAAAAGATGCCTTCTAAAAACAAGAAAGCTGTGAAGAGTGCTAATGTCAAGAAAGCAGATAGCAGCACTACAAAGAAGAATCAGAACAGTTCCAAAAAAGGTAATGGTTTTATTTTTTTTTCATTGTGTTACTTAATCTGATGGTGAATCTAAGGTTAACTGTGCAGCAAAACATTGCACACTTTTTACTCCTCCTCTGATGCAAAATAAACTTGTGATTTCTGCTAATATATATTTGAAATATCAGGACAAGAGACCCTTTCTGTGGGGTGGAAGGGGATCTTGGCAAGAACATTAACAGGGCCAGGGCCTGTAGAGTGATTTAATGGAACCTTATGACCTGATCTTCAGCCATACTCTTCTGTTTGAGTGAAGAGAGAAGCTGAATTGGTTAGGGCAGAAACTAACACTGGATTGTTGATAAAATATCAAATGTTTAAAACTAAATCAGCAAAATATGATCTGTCAGACTGTCAAGGAATAATGTAGGACAGTGGCAGCATATGGTGTTCTGTAGGAGATAGCTGTTCAGTCTTCTTTCTGGAGGAAAGAAGTTAGCAGGGAGATGTCAAACATGTGAATTCTAATAAAATAAATCTTCCAGATTTAGAAAGTGAGTCTGAGGATAGTTCAGATGATGAACCTTTAATTAAGAAGTTGAAGAAACCACCTACAGATGAAGATATTAAAGAAACTGTCAAGAAGTTATTGGCCAATGCAAATTTAGAGGAAGTCACAATGAAACAGATTTGCAAAGAGGTATGTATAAAGATTTTACAGCTTTGTTTAAAGAACTAACTTTGATATTCCTCATTGTTTTGTAAGTTATTTGAAACTCTTATTCTATGAAAATATAAATATTTCATACACTATTGCACTCAATGAAATATGTGAATGTCTAAAGCTGTATTACTTCAGGCTTAGATTTTGAACAAGGCTGCAGTGAATCTTGTCAGCGTTTGGATATAAAATTTGCAAGAAAAAATTCAATGTGCTAAAGGTTAACAGAGGATGCCTCTTTCCTTCCCTGCTCCATGCACCTACCCTGGCTATTTGTGAATTTAGTTCTTTTGCTTTTTATCAAAATGCCTGAAAAACAACAAAATTAATCAACGTATTTCTTGACTTGCCCAACATTTTCTTTTCAGATGGATCTGAAACTCAAAACTTTTCAGTTTCTCAGAATTGCAAGCAAGTTGAAAAATCCATTATTTGTCAGTTTAGTGATTTTTTTTTTCTTCTTTCCACCATTTGACTACTGATGATGGTAAAACAGTAGTACTATTCAGCACTCATTGATTTAAAGAGACAAAACTGTATTTACTGTGAACCTGGTCTTTGTTCATTTAGTTTCTTTCATACTGATAAGTGCAGCTGACAGTCTAGATCAGTGGTTCTCAACCTGTGGTCTGTGAAAGATAGACTGAAAACTCACTGAACAGATTTCAGCTATATATACACAGACAATAGGGGTCCACATCTCTACTCAAAATTTCTTAAAAGTCCACAAATGAGAGAAGGTTTAAAACCACTGGTCTAAAGGATACAGCATACCCACTGGAAAACAGCCTGAGTTGCTGGTCACCTACATGTTAATATGAAAACTGTAACCCCTATTGATTAAAAATAATTGCTGCATACCTTCAAAAACTGAATTTAGGCAAAAGGAAAGGAACTAAGAGGTTTGGCACGTCAAATTACATTGTATAACTTACATTTGGATCACACAACTTCATCTCTTCTGCACTGAAATCATGAAGTTACTTTTATTTTTAGAACATATTAAGACTCCTCACTCACACTAGCTCTTTTGTATTGCTTGGTTTTAGGTATATGAAAGTTATCCCAGTTATGACTTGTCTGAAAGGAAAGATTTCATCAAAAAGACAGTTAAAGAGGTAAAAACTTACCTGAAAAAAGCTAATGGTATTTTTTTAAAACATCTGTCAGCTTGGAGTGCTATCTAGTATTTTCAAATAGCTGGATTCTTAGTATGGAAGTGACTAAATATTTTTCAGGACAACCTTAATTCAGGAGCTGGATCTTGACTTTGCTCTTCATCCAGAAGCTAGTGCAGTCAGTTATTTTCCATTGGTCAAATTGAACTCCACTCACATGTGAGTTCAATAATTTCTTCAGGAACACAAGCTTCACTGTGGGAAGAGAGTACACTGCAGCTGATTTAGATACCATGCCCCTTCTTCATAGCAGATGGGGAAACCAGAAGGAAACTGTAATTCAGGAAGTCAGCCTTGCTTTTTTCTCTAGCTTCTACAGCAATATGCCACCCTTATGCTACGTCTACATTGGCATGATCTTGTGCAAATACTCTAACGCAAGAGTTCTTGCATTAAAGTATTTGCGCAAGAGAGTGTCTACACTGGCATGTGCTTTTGCACAAGAGCGTCCGTGCCAGTGTAGATGCTCTCTTGCGCAAGAAAGTTCCGATGGCCATTTTAACCATCGGGCTTTCTTGCGCAAGAAATTCATGTTGCCTGTCTACACTGGCCTCTTGCGCAAGAACAGTTGCACAAGAGGGATTATTCCTGAGTGGGAGCATCATAGTTCTTGTGCAAGAAGCACTAATTTCACACATTAGAACCTGTGTTCTTGTGCAAGAACTCCTTGCCAGTGTAGACAGGCAAGCATGTTTTTGTGTGAAAGCGGCCTCTTTGGCGCAAGATCGCGCCAATGTAGACACAGCCTCAAGGTAAAGCTTGTGATCTGGTCTATACCTAGTAACGCTTAAGAATAGTTTGATGGGCTTTCATTTTGTTTTTCCCTAAAATAAAAATGAGATTAAGTATTGATCCCCTTGTGCTTGTAAGGCAGAAAAATTGTAAGAATTTCTCTTTTATTTCAAACCTTCTAATCCAGATTACGGACGAATCTAAATAATGCATGCATCTCAAGTATCATGTACGCCTGCTAAAAACACAATGAAATATCCTAACAGTAGATGGCACTTCCATGTACATGAGATGGTTGAGGAGAGTACAATTCTTTAACTAGGATTTTTGAGCCTGTTCTTGAACCATCTTTATCTAATGTTTTAGACTGGTGTGGAATTGACTAACAGGATAAACTATCTCATTTCAGTTAATTTCATGAACTAATTTGACTGAAGGAAATGAAGACTGCTGACTTGTGTTCCCATGGATTTGAAGATCTGATAGACACCAGCAAAAAGAATGTTTGTGGTATATGTTTAGTCAGAACTGATTCTGCTGACTTAGTATCAATGTAAATTGCTTTGTGTACTTTTTTAATAATTGCATTTGATGCAGGTTTTAGTTGACCTGAGGTTTTTTTTGTTGTTTGCATGGCAATAAATGTTCCCTTTTTATAGTTTTGTATATTTTGAATGCCTTTGTAGTAGATTCATTAAGACCATCATAGCTTTTAATGTGCTTTAATACCTTGCATAACTTTTTTAAAAAAATCAAGTATGATAAGTTGTCTAAGTGTTTGCACATATATACACATGCAGAGATTGTCTGCAATATTACAGTGTTGGGTTATATAAATATTTTGAATACATTCTGAAAATCAGTCTTGGTAGTGTTCTTGATATTCTGATTTACATGTTATAAATTCAGAATATTTAATCTACATTGTCTTGCATGTGTATACACTGAGAGCCATGAAAACATGGTACTTAATTGGCAGATATTATTTTTGTACTTTTAAAGACTGTATGAAGTTACTGCAGATTTCTGTTGTGCAAATCAGATTTTTAAATCTAGTTATCATAGGACTTAAGACATGTCAGTGTTCAGCAGTGATGCTCAGATGAAAAATGGGACGCTCTATAAAGTTTATACAAAAGTTGAAACTTTACTGTTGTCCAATCTTGCCTTGTGTAAGAAAGATTCACCTGTAGTTTTATACTTAAGCTCTTCAGTGTTTAATTTTATATAAAAAGCTACAGCTGCAGTTGTTCTAGGGCTTGACCTAGAACAATATTAATAAAGTGAAGGCTATAGGGAATAAAACGGACTTGATAATGATTATTTTGTTGTTGGACTATGGACAAAATTTTGAGAAGTGGGTGCCTAAAGCGATGAACTCCTGGCAGGCTTAACAGAAAAGCACACTCCAGATCTAGGAGCACAAGCAGGACAGTACTTAAGCTAATGATTAAGTAGTATTCTGAATAGGAATGCTTTCCTAAATCTGAGCCTAAAAGTAAGCCACTGCTTTTGATTCAAATTAGAAGTTTTCATGGTTTTGTGCCCATCCACATACCTTTGTGCTATTATAGAAATAATGTATATAAAGTACTAACAAACAGAGGCCAAAGTGTCGCTACCAATGCTATGAAAAACAAATCCTGTAATGACTCCAGTATTGATCAAGAGCAAAGCATTTTAAAAATTTTATTAGTCTATATTTGCAAGATTAGGAGCTGGATAACTTAAATTTTGAAAATGTTCAGCCAATCAGGGTGTTAATTAATCTTTACTTTTTTGTAATTTCCTTGCATGTAATACTTTTTTAAAAGGCTGAATGTTTTTGTACTCAATAAATGTCTTTCAGAAAAACTTAAAAGCAATTTTGATTTTCTTATTTGTATAGTAAAACTACAGATATGTGTACTTAATCATCTGAAGGACACTATTAAACTCTGAAAAAAGGTTTCATGGCTTTAGAGGTGTGATCTGTACCATCAAGCCCTACCATCAGGTTATGACTAGAAAAAATTATCTTTGCACAGTTGCTTTGAACAACCTTACTTACCATGTTTTAACAAAGGCATTCCAACTACTTAAATCCTGGTAAAGCAGTAAGTTACTTATCACTGAACCTTGTTTTGTCCTTGGGTAGTATAATATACAAATAACCTATTTGAATGAGGTGGACAGGACAGAAGTTACTGAATTTCTTCTCAAATGCTTATCCACATCTTCACTTAGAAAAACACTAAAGCTGTAGCGCAGATGGTTCATAAGCATTATCACTATGATCTAACAACTCTACTAGTGCTCAATAAGGATGTAATAAGAACCTGTGAACAGTTACACACAGGCTCCTACCCTGCTCTTGGGGAGCAGGCAGCTGCTCTGCATCAGAGCCTGCAGCACAGGGTGGCAGCTGGTGTGTGCTGGAGCCAGCTCCTTTTGCACACAGGTTCTGCAGGAAATTTTCAGTGGTTACATAGTTACCCACTCACCTGCTTCTTAACATCCCTAATTCTCAACTAGTGGTGCGGTTTGTGTAGAGCAGTGTTTCTTAAACTGTTCCATGGCACACCAGTATCTTGCAGAGAACATAATTCAAAACGGCTGCCCTTAAAGGAGCGGTCAACTTTCCTTATGACCCTCTCTTCCCCTCCCCCCCAACCAAAAAATCCTTGCTGTTCCTCAGTCTTAAAGTTTAAGTAGAGTGTCATCCCTTCTTTCTACCAGAGTCATTTCTCAGTGAGGAAATAAACTGTCAGTTTGAAATGCTTTGAGTCTTTGAAAGATGTTTGATCCATTACTGAACAGATTATAAGATCAGCAATTGCCATTCAGAGCCAGTTATAGAACAGCAACTATACTAATATCTAGAGGTAGAATCTTAAAGTGCATGGTGTCTTAGTCACGTTGCTCAGTACATGCTTAGCATAAGTTTCAAAAACAATGCACAACATCCAGTGGACACTCCATTTTTATTCTGCTGCCACAAAAAGAGTTGAAGTAACAGATCATGCTCTGCCTTCAGACATTTTGGTAATATTTTAAACAAATTTACTTAAAGCCATTCTCCAGTTGTTTATTTACAGGAAAAACTGTACACAAGTTTAGAAAAGCAGGCATGCTTAAGTGTTGAAATTCTTGGGGACTAATCAGTGCCAGGCCAATTCTGAGGCTCTTACCTTTAAGTTGTGAACAAAATGGAATGCTCCTTTTATGCTTTTTTCACAACAGAAGTATGGCATAATACAGTTTAAATACCTGATTACCATAGTAATAACTTAAATATTTTACAAACTAAGATTTAAAATTTACCATCGTGTTCTGCTATTATCCATCATTCTTGCCTTTTTAATAAGGCTGAAGTCAGCAAAGCATTTAAGTACATGCCCACTGTTAGGAATAAATAAATTCCAATGCAAAGTCAACAGGACTTGGGCCCATGCTTCAAGTTCAGCATGTACAGAGATGCTTTGCTAAAAGAGGGATAGACTGCTGAATTGGGGTCTAAGACACTAAGGATTAACCAAAAAGTTAGGATCTTGGCTGTTTCTATGCTCTTATAAACCTACTGGAACTTTAACCAAGGCCTGTTCTGATGACTCCTTTAACTCTGTCTTTTAGCAAAGTTAACAGAAAAGCAGCTGTCTTATCTAGTACAGGGCAAAGGGAAGGAATGCTTTTTGCTTTCACCTACCATGGACACTCTTCAATTCCCATTGAAATCTCACATCCATTAAAAATTAGTCTACAAAAGATGGAATTATCAAAACAGCAGTGATTTACCATAAGCAAAATCTAAACCTTGATTACCATTTCTTGTATAGCAAAGGATTTCAACCTTTCTCTATATAACCTTTAAGACAGTTGCAATTTTGTATATATGAAATCTTTCAAACGGTAAATATTAGCATTCTTTAGAGCAAAAAGTTAGAAATGCTTACACTTTTCAGTCACATCCTCATTTCAATTTTTTTTAAAAGCAGAATATTTAGTTGAAAGATCTAATTACATATCTTCAACTTGGTATCTTAAAGATTAAATAAAATTAAACATATCTGAACATCAACATCTACCCTAAAAAACAAATTAGATATTGGAGAGTAAAAAACTGCTTTTCTTCAGCAGGCTTCTTTTCTAAAGGTAGCCTTTTGGAGTTAAACACTAACTCAAGAAGGCTTGCTTTGTCATTCACTCAGCATTCTAAACAGAGTGCATGCTTGAGACTAAGAAGAATAAGTGCTCATTTTCCTTCCAGAATCTCTCGGGAACGCTGCAGTAACATCACAGGTAGGAAAAAGTTATATTTTTTAAAAAATTATTTAAGTTTCCATTTACCCTGTTCTGTAGGATGTTAAGGCAGGTATTTTTGCTGTGTGTTACTTGCTGTCTTTCCCTCAGGGAAAAACTTTAGGAATCTGCTTATCCCTTCCTGAATTATTCCCAAGTCATTTTTAATAATAATACCTTCAAATAAAAAAAGTGCAAGCCACCTTATTTCAGCCCTTCATAAAAAGCACAGATTTTACCTCATTCATTTTCACTTATTTTAAATGCAAAAGCTGAATGAGCCACTAATAACTTACTCCTTTATCCCCAGTTAAGCTCTCATTTATACATGTGATTCACCTACTCAGCTCAAATGAATTTGAAAGTTTACTTTTCAGAGGAAAAGCATCTTAACCCATAATACTTCTTCTACTTACATGATGAGAGCCTAAACTTATTCTTACCATAATGATCATTCCTCTACGTACAACTTTGAATATGCAGCACAGAGAACATTTGAGACTTTTTCCTGTAGCCTGAAAGCTTTTTTCCTTTTATAAATCTTTTAGCTTCAATAACCCTTAGATTGCACTATAAACTGTTCCAGCAGTTTTATTTTAAAGGACACCAGTTGAGATGCAAAAGCCTGACTAGTGGTAGTAAGTACACTTGAAAGTATCAGAAGTTATTGGGGAATAGGGTGGGGAGATTTTGTGTTCTCTCACAAGCATCTTTATTGTCATTCCATGGTTTGGATTGTTTATTATCAAGTGCTACTCTGAACATGATCAACCTGAGAACAAAATGAATTTAGGAGCCCCACCATTAAATAATCCTCCATGCTTTAATACCATATAGCAATTAATTGCTCTTGTTCTGAACTTGAATGCAGGTGATTTACTACCATAATGTGAGCTGGACCATATAGAAAAAGGTCTCTCACAACAGGCTTTGTTAGATCTGCATGTGCCACAGTAGCAAGACCAATGTCAGTACTAACACGTTATTAATATTTTCGTTGGGAAAAGGACATTAGGAAAAAAGTGAATATTCTATCTTCAGATACCATATGTCAGGAAGTTATAGCAAAGTGGAATTTGAAGAAATTTTTACCCACAAAAAATAATTTAAAAATATATCTAGACACAAATGTCAATATTCAAAATGCTGCTATTTTGCTTGCTTCTCGAACTCCACTCAAGTAGGCTCCTGTAACTGTCTGTGGGAAGTGCCTGTTTGTGGCCTGTAACAAAATGAAAATTATATAGTTTCTGAAACAGCTACATTAGAACACAAATAAAATTCTGCTCCAGAAATAAAGTTCTGGGTAGTGTGAGCATTGGGTATGTTTTTATACAGATATTTTCTCAGGCAGGTATGAATTTTCAAACTATTCAGTGTGCTCAAATTTTAAAAAGTTTGTTAAAGATGAACCAACAAAAAGCTTTTTTCTTTTAATAAAAGTGAATTTAGCAAACAAACTTTTAAAGTTGTCACATCTATTAAAGTAAGAAATTTGACTCTTGGCACAGAGATTATTTTTGCTAATTTGAACATCAGAGATTGTTCATACTTTCATATCAATACACAATAGTACCAGTGGCATGTGTTACAGCTGCATTACTGAGCAATGATGAAATGGGCAATTATATACAATTCTGTCTCAATTTACAATATGCACATGCATTATGTCTGATTTACTAGGGGGCTTTACCCCCTGCTTGCTATGCTCACCAATTCCCCTCTCTTGGGGGGTAGGCAGCCCCGACTGCCAGGGCCAAGGCCACACCAGCCCTGGTCTCTCTCTCACCTCCCCTGGCTACCAGAGAGCACTGGAGCAGCGTCAGCCCCCATCTCACCCCCTCTCAGGCTGCTAGGGAGGACAGAGGCCACAGCAGCTACAGCTCTCCTCTCAGCCACTGGAGAGAAGAGGGCCAGAGGCGCAATGTGGCAGCCCTAGCTCTCCACATGGTCCCTAGGGAGGGCCAGGCTGGGAGTGAGGAGGGCCAGGTCAGAACGAGGCAAAATGTGCTGTAGCTTGAATCGAGGTGCATTGGAAAAGGGGCTATTTACAAGATGCCTGTCCACTCAGTTTTTCTTCAACCAGACTATTAATCTTTTTACAGCAAACAAACTAAATGCTTGAGCCAATTTTAGAATAACAAATAAGCTATTTACCTCGCCAGCAAAGAAAATTGTTCCTTGTATGTCTTCAGCTATAACATCATAAGCCTCACCACTACCACTTGTCTTTACAAAACTATATGCCATCTGGCTCCAAGGGTCTTTGCTCCATCGTGTAACAAAGTACTTTACTGGGTCTGGAACTTCCTGAATGATCAAGGAAAATAAGTTATGCAAGATAATGAAGAGACCACATTTTTAATAATTTTCCTCTTAGCATAGCTTCCTCTAGTTTTCTGTACAACATTAAATGTTTCCTGTTTAGTGTACACAATAGCCTCATATTTTTACACTTGCAGAAGATTTGCACATTTGCCTAGATTCCAGGACATTTTTTCCTAGTGTGAAACACATTACTTCCCAACAGAGTTTATAAGAACATCCACTGAAGAATTATATGTTAAAATGTTTGACCTAATGTTTGAAATATTTAGATTATACTTGCACAACTTTGAATTTAGCAAACCGGAGAGTCTACATAATATGAGGACTGCATACATATATCTGGAGAAGAAACAAACTCTTCTTTCCCCAGACTATCGAACAGGTACAAGAAGCATCATTTTACCAGTGATAACCTCTGAGTCAACATTATTATGCACAAGAATTTCTGCAACCAAGAAACTAAGGGCAGGTCTACACAATGAAGCAATGTTGAACTAAGGTACACACCTCCAGCTACGTGAATAGAGTAGCTGGAGTCACTATACCTTAGACTGAGTTGCTGCATGGGTGGTGACACGAGACACTCTCCTATTGACTCTCCTGTTATCCCCTGTGTCGTTATTAGATCCACTAAGTCGACCCCCGGGGATTGATTGATGGAGTCCCAGGAAGTGTAGACCTGCCCTCAAGATCAACTTTGTGAAATGCTGAGATTTCTACAATAATGGGGTAAATATACATCTTAGAAAAGACTTATAGAGCATCTTGTCTTCTATAGTAAACTATAGTAACTGGTCCACCCTGAAAGAAGTCTTACAGATAAGATTTTTGCAGAAGGCTCTTCTGGTTATGTAAGATGGAGAATAAATTATCAGACTGGCATGCAGACCAAATATCAATTTGCCACCTGTAAATTCCTGAGTTATCAGAATAGCAAATAGGTGAACTTTTAATATGAATACAGTTTGGTATAAGTTAGGGATGTTAAGAAGCAGGTATTTGAATAATTGTGTAGCCTACAATTTTTTTTTGACTACACAATTAGTTGATAAGGGCAAGCACTCAGAACCCGCTTGCGCTGAGTCTGGGAGCTACCTCCACTGCAGCTCTGCAATTTAAATGTAGTAAGAGCTGGGATGCCTGTCTGCCCAGCTCTTACTACATTTAAACTGCAGAGCTGCAGCAGCTCGGACATGGTGTGAGCTGGGACTGGAAGAAAGAGTAAGTTAGTTTTCATATTAAAAAAAACAGCTCTTGTTTAGCCTAGACAACTTTCTGCATGGAAGAACTTTGTGGTGATAACATCACAAAGATGAAAGAAATGACACTGGATGAACTGATGTGACTTTTATTCAGACCGGTTAAACTTTGTTTGGTATTTTTAGTACCTCTAACCAAAACACATGGAGAAAAAATTGTAAACCAAATGAAAGTTAACAGCCCCATTTCTTAAATGCAGGCTCAACATACCTCCAAATTCTCATTTCTGTGATCACAGATAACCAAGCTGACATTCCTTTTTCTGACAAAAGACAGGCAGAAAACAAACTCACACTTCAAACAAATTAACACCCCACCCCTCCCAAAGAAACAATGTTTTAGGCATTTTTTATACTCTATATATCCTTTATCAGAGAAATAATAAATAGGCACTTTTTTTTGTGTCTTTTCAAGTCCACCTTTAAATCTGTGGCAAATTGATTTTTCTTTCTCTTACCTGTTCCTTAAACAGCTCTCGAAGTACAGTCATGCACAGTTGTAGTACTTGTTTGTCATCTAAATTCTTAATGGTTGTCACAGCATCTCCGGTAACTACTGACATTAGTACACTGTATTTACCCTAGAATCAACACATTAACATTTGATATTTCAGAAATACTAAGAATGTTCAGAAAGTCACCTAAATTACTGTTTTTCCAATAGACAGTAGGGAAAATTAACCTTTTTTTTTTAACCAAGTCAGTTATGGCCCCTAAGAAATTCATCCTCTGCAGTTTTCACTCTCAGATATGAAACAAGTCAGAAATGTATTGAGTAGAGCTAGTCCCTTTTATAAAACTGTGCAAACTTAACTGGAACCCACATATTTGTCAGGCTGACAAAATGCTTCTTTTCATGCAGACAAGTCACATTTTTAATGCCAGATCTGATCTGTTTAATGCTGAAGCTCCACTGTTAACTTCCAGAGATGGAAACAAAAAAAAAAAAAAGGCCTCACTAAGATCCATTATGGGCCTGCCACACACTGTAGTCAATGAAAGTTTTTATTATTGATTTCACTGGGTTTTTGCTCAAGCATTAAGTATTTTGTTCTAAAGATCATCTTGATCACAGTATCCCATTCCTCCCTCTCCTCTTTATAGGGCAATTAATTTACCATCATTACCAAGCAAGATGAAAATACTGACATTCCACTATATATAGAATATGGTACTGTGGTACCTGTGGATCCATATCATAGAACACACTGAAGAGCCCCCGTTTGCTGGAACAAGGTGGAACGTGACCAAAAAAGTCAGCTCCCTGAATTTTGCTGTCCCAAAATCTGTAAGGAAACTGCAAGGCAACCTAGAGAGAGAGCAGATTCAGTTGGTGAGAATTTCATATTACAAATTAGCAACATGCCTTGTAAAAATTTCTCTCTCTCCCCCTTCAACTTCAGGTACCCAAATATGCTAGAAGTTCTCAGCAGTGTTCCCTGCAAGCTGTGCACTTCAGCAGCTGCCGGAAGAGATTCAAATGCTGCCCAGCAGAGCACCCATAGCCACTAGCATGTGTTTCTACACATGCCTCAATGCACATCATAAAATTTATTCTCCACAAGTGGATGGAACATAGATAGGGAACACTAGTTCTCAGTGTAAGATATTTAGGGTTTTTTTTGTTTGTTTTTCAAGAAGTGGTATAAAATTTCTTGTTGTCTCTTGGATTTAAAAAAGGCACAATCCAACTAATGTTGGCAATTAATTTGGCTACAGAAAACCTTGGGCAAAATTCGTTGCTGCACCTCTTTGGAGGCACTACACAGAACTCAGCAGAGAGGAAGAGTTCCCCTGAAGGGTGCAGCAATGGCTGGAATTTCTGCAGTGCTGTGGACCTGGCACTCTCACATCCTGCCAAACCCCACCCCCAGTACACACAAGATTTGTGAATGTGAGGGGAACCTCAGAGATAGTAGCCACTCACGCACTAGTGGACGAGGGGAGAATCCTTTCCAGGGAAAATACAGGGTTTTCATCAGCGTGCTTTTATGCCACTGTGGCCCTTTTTCCTGACAAAGGAACTCCAGAGGGTGGATTTCACCCCTCATGTCTATCAGATTTAATACTCTTATCATACACATTGTTCAAATATAGGCACAAAGATTAAAGGCCAGCAGTGATTTTCTACAAAACAATTTGTTTAAAAAAATTGTTAAATTAGGACAGAAAAAGAATAGGAAAGAAAAATAAATATGCAGGGTCCAGATACCATTTTGCTCTTCTGTGTTTTTTTATTTATTTAAATGTATGTTGTGCAGGTTAAAAAAAAAAAATTCAGACAGACAATTTTGCAATCTGCATACCCAAACATATCACAGTAGTTCTATGCTTATAGCATGAAAGTGAATTATGCTAGAGGATACAAGTCAGAAGCATGAGAAAAAGGGTATATTAGTATCTCTATTAAAAAGCCTCAAAGCACTTGATGTTCATTTTCTTTCACATAACTAACAAGTAATTTTGATTATGTACCTTTTCAATGACTCCTGCTCCCAAACTGTTAATGGCTTTCATTTTTCTCTCTGACAATGGTGGATTAAACTGAATGGCATTTTTCTGAAGAAGGGCCAGCGGCACAGTAACCAAAACCTATGGAAGAATAAACAATCCCCATCACAACAATAGAAGAAGCTTAACAAAGCAATTAAAACTAGTCACATCTGGTAAGTAGCTATTGTTCTTATAACAGAAGACAGACAAGGCACAATTCTCTCAGGCCAGCTTGGGGTTACTGTCTCCTGCACTACACATTAATGGCAGCCATGTGCACACATTCAGCAAAGAGCAGACTCCTCAGTCAGTGGTTCTCCCGTTGTGGTCTATAGAGCGACTTGCATCACAGCGATGAACAATGATCCCTGATGGTTACAATTCTAGGGTTTCCCAGTGGCCTATTTTTTTTTACTTGTCTGTATGCCATGCACAACAGATTCATGTCTTATTGTGCTGCTGGGGCTTCTCGTTGACTCAGCCTTGATCATGGGCACCCGGGGGCTTAGGCTGAGGAAGGCTCTGCCTTCCCAAATTGCCAGCCTAGTCCCTCCCACACTCCATCCCCAGAATGCCAGCTGGGAGCGGAGTGTTGCTACCCCCAGTGCCCGCTCTCCCATGCTCTGGGGCAGCTTAGGTCATGCTGCTGCCTCCCTTCCTGCTGCTCCCAGGGGCAGGGAGGGTTGGGCGAGCTTGGGCCACGTGACCACCTCCCTTCTCGCTGCTCTGGGGCTGGGGAGGCTGGAGCCACATGGCCTCCTTCCTCTCTGCTGCTCCTGGGGCCAGGGAGGCTTGCTGTTCCAGGGATGATGAGACATGCACTCTTCTCCTCCCTGTAGTGCTGGTGGGTGCCTCATTGAGGGGGTGGGGCTAGGGGAGTCAGGCCCCCAGAGCCAGCCATAGTGACTGCCCATGGCCTTGATTAGCTGTACACACCCTCAAAATTAGAGAAGCAAGCCTGGGCAGATTAGAACAGTTGGAATGATAAGAAATGAGGGTAGATTTAGTAATAAAAAGAATGATGTGTACTCCCAGAGAAAGGGAGTAAATAGAGAGAGCATGTACGTGTATGTGTGTGTGTGATATAAACATACAAAATAGGAGGGGGGGAGTGAGGAAGAGAGAGCATGTACGTGTGTGTGTGTGTGTGTGTGTGATATAAACATACAAAATAGGAGGGGGGAGTGAGGAATGTAACAACAGCTGTTCTTGTCACTAAAGCAAGCTGATTTTCAACATGTCTCTTTTATATTGCCCTAATGACTTTAGAGCATTGGATTGACAGATTTTTTTTAACCTCTACAGAATTTTATATAAATATAGATAAACTTGAAGCATACTAATTACCTTTTGTGCTGTCCACATAGTTCCATCTGCTGTGGTGACTTGGACTTCTTCCCCAGAATAGTCTATAGTGTGTACCTGTTTTACAAAGTGAAAATAATGGCACACCAAATTTTCTGAAACAGTATGTTCCCATTTAGACGAGGATAGGAAATTATTACAAGTCTATAAACTTTATTCCCACTACAGGTTGGCTCCCATATTTGATGCAGAAGGGCATGTTACATCAGAAAAACTAGCCACTGTGGAAAAAGGGAACTTGAAGCAAAAGTTCACTGTTCAAATGAAGCAACTCAGTTATCTCAAACCCAGATTAGTCTGTGGACTATGAAAACATGCTTGTATGCTTCAAAGCAATACCCTCTCATTCATCTAAAAGAGTGTCACAGGGAGGAGGGGAGGAAATTGTTCTCCATGGCCTCTGAGTATAGGTCAAGAAGCAATGGGGCTTAAACTGCAGCAAGGGAGGTTTAGGTTGGACATTAGGAAAAACTTCCTAGCTATCAGAGTGGTTAAACACTGGAATAAATTGCCTAGGGAGACTGCAGAATCTCCATCACTGGAGATATTCAAGAGCAGGTTAGATAAACATCTATTAGGGATGATCTAGACAGCGCTTGGTCCAGCTGTGAGGGCAGGGGACTACACTTGATGATCTCTCAAGCTCTCCCCCACTTCTACTATTCCTGGGGGAACAACCTTGACAGAACAACCAGGAATGAGAACTCCGAACATATGTATAGCAGGATGTGAGGTACCACCCTTTCATATCCAATTCAGTCCTCTGCTTAGCCACTGGCTGGGCAAGAGGGAATGGGACCAAGTGCTCCTCTTTCCTCATTTAAGTTAGTCCAGGCATTTTAGAATCCTCTTTCTCTCTATTTAGCTGCCTTCCCCTCCTGCCCTCTCCTTGGCTGTGATACTATTAGTCTGATGGATTCCCTGGCACCATCATTTTACAACTCACCGGAAGCTTAAGATGAATGTCAATCCCTTCAGCCAGTTTTTCTATTATAGTAGAATAGCCAGGTATTAAAAGGGTATGATCTCCAGCAAACTGGGCAAAAAATTCATTGTGGTCCCATGAGCGTGCAGATACCTGTGAATAGAACATAATAGGTTGTCTCTAATAGTCAGGAGACAACATGTAAACTTTATAAAAGCCACACGTGTAGAGGAAGTCAAACTGGATCCTTCCATGCCAGGGGATCAGATGCATGGCAAACAACAAAGACAAGCAAATCCTCTCTCTAAATAAAGCTGTGCGATGCAAGTTGTCTAATTAAGCAAAATGGCACAATCTGGCTAAGTTACTAGGAGATACTCTACCGAGAGCATCATTTGGCAAAGTGCAAGAAAAGCATTGTGAAAAGACTGGTGTAAAGGCATAAAACATTCCAGATATCAGTAAAAAAGGGTTTCTGGCTCAAACAAGGATATACAAAGCCCGCAGTGTGGGGTGGGCTGCTGGCTTCCCAGGAGGGAAGCTGGGAGCCAGTGTTTAACCATTACAGTAACCAATAAACTCCTGCTTTATCAGTTAATCATTTAAACATTTATACAATTACATTCTTAGTTTCCATTAGATCACAGGAGTTAACTTCACATTTTGCAGTGAGCGCTTGAGTGTAATGTTCAAACTGGAGGTGAATTTCCCTAGGGTTAGGGTTATCATCTCAATCACCAAGAAGTCACCCAGGAGGTCTAAGGTGGAGCGGGGAACTGCCCCTATTTCCTAGGTTTCAGGGTAGTGCTCTAGACATTAGATTAGCCTTCCTCTCTCTTTCTAAATTACATCACATATTGACGAACCATGCACTCACCTGATTGAGGTCACTGCCACAGGCATACTCCAAGTTACTGAGATGGAATTGCAGCACCTTTTCTTCCAGATCACTGAACTGGATACCCGACTCCTGAATAAAAGCTTTATAGATCTCCTGTATCTTCTCTGTACAGGAACAGATTTAAAATAAAAATGTAGAAATTGGTGAGTGTGGTTCATTATTCTCTGAATCTCACTAGTTTGCAAGTTAACAATCAATACTAGGGATGCTCAAATACCATTTTTTTTTGTGAACGTGTTACCGCTGAAGTTTTTCAGTGGTTACACATTTACACGCAGGGGCACCAGCTCCCTGCGAGCATTGGCTCCTGCCTCCCCCCGAATGCCTCTGATACAGAGGCAGCAGGGGAGGGGGGCTGCATATAATCGTGAGGGTTAATTGATGAGCCCAGGTTTATTCATTAACCATTGCACACAGGTACATATTAGCTTCTCTACTTAATACTCATTCACATTTATTTCTGATGTAGTGAAAAAGCTGCTACAGAATACATGAAAATAAGATCTGTCACGTGATCAGCTGAAACCCTGATTTGATTTAGAATTAAAATAATTTGATTTCAGAGACTGATACGGCACTGTACATTTCCCAAGAAAGAAGTAACCTCAAAAAGGAGTAGATATTACCGTAAAAGTCGGGTAAAAATCTGGTTAAAAAGGAGTCCTGGAATAACTAACGTAGACAGCAGAGAAATTCATCGATTGGCTACCATCAGTAGACGGCACTGCAGTTGTGGTTTAAATGACACACATTCCCCAAGGCTAATTTATTAAAGAAACAAAAAACAAAAACACGCACAAAAAGCCACAACAATTCATAAATGCCACCTTCTATAGAATCTTGTGTAATTTTCACAAAACTGGGGTCCTATTCTAAGCTCTCCTAAGACTAATGGAGTCTCTTCATCAGTCACAGAAAAAAGGAGCAGAACTACAGTCTGAAAATGTAATTTTAAAACTATAAAATTATAGGTGCCCTGACTTTCTTTATCCAACCAAATCTGCTTCAGCTATTTCAGGCATGTCTGCTTGCAGGTGCCAGCTCTCTTGGGCTCATGCTAAGGGACTGTTTAACTGGAGTGTAGACATTCAGTACTCTAGAATTCCATGGTGAAAGAAGGGCCCTGAGGTTGGCTGAATGTCTACCACTATTAAAAAGCCCCTTATCCTGAGTACCATGAGCCCAAATCAGCTGGCACAGACCAGCCAAAGTTGTGTAATTGCAGTGTAGACATATTTTTAGATTCAAATTAGTAGCAAAGCCAATGTCTGGTAGTTAAAAATGGCCATGAAAACAACTGATCCAATCTGCTACGTTACTATCAATGTAGGAAAAAATTACCCTTCAAATGAGATATGGTCTTCAAATCTGGGGGTTAAATCTTGGCCCTACTGAATTCAGTGGTGAAACTTCGATGAACTTCTAGGCTCTATTGAAGTGAAAGGCCAACTATACATACAAATATTCAGAATCTCCAAATTGTATATGAAACAAAAGGCAAATGCCAGAGAAGTCCTCTTATTTTGATAGTTATGAACACTGTCAACCTCTCTGGTGTCCAGGACAATTGCTCTCTTACCTCCAAGAGGGACATCTTGATGTTGGGTCTTATCTTTTCTCCATTCTGAGACAACATCCAAGATGGCATTGAAATGAAAGTCCATGCGCTTATCGATAGTGGGGTCAGTTATCCTTCCACCTTCTTGGATCAAATCACATCTCTCTCCTAGTTTGTGCATTTTAATGCCAAGCTTCAAAAGAAAGTTAAAAAATGAATAAAAGTAAAATTTCTTTGAAGGAAACTTCACTTTCTAAATTGCTCAAGTACATTTTTTTAAAAGGGTTAAATCACTAGGAATAAAGCATTGTGAGGAACATGGAATTTTCACACACTTTAAATAGTTAAGACTCCGGTCTAATTCAACCTAAGGATGTTAAGTAGCGATTAATTTGCTAGTTGAGTAGTCGATGGAATTTCCATGGACTACTCAACTAGTCAATAAGCACTTCCGTGTTCCTCCTTTGAAATGTACCAGAGCCCCAGTGGGGGCTCTTGTGCATGTCAAAGCTAGCACGCCACGTGGAGCCCGGGGCCAGCAGGGAGTCCCCTGCTGACTCCAAGATCCATGCGGGCGCTTCCGCTTCGAAATGCCCAAGAGCCCCTGCTGGGGACTTTTGTACATATCAAAGCTGGCATGCTGCATGGAGCCCAGGGTCAGTTGGGGAGTCCCCAGCTGATCCTGGGCTTCACCTGGCATTTCAAAGTGGCAGCGCCAGGTGGAACCCAGGGTCAGCTGGGGAGTCTGGCTCTCTGCGGCATTCCAAGTGGCAGCACCGCACGGAGCAGCTGACCCCGGGTTCCATGCGGTGCTGCCACTTTTAAGTACCTCCCTTTTATTCCCCCCCTTGCTACCTCTATCTGATAGAGGCAGCAAGCGGGGGAGCAGCTGGTCAACTATCCTGTTGACTAGTCCTTTACATCCCTAGTCTCAACCTCTTAAAATATTTAGTTCCAAGTAAAACGTGAAACTCTGAAGTTAAATCAGGCCCATGACTTTTAGTCAACAACACATCAAAGGCAGTACAAAGGCAGTTCCTAGCATTAGGAAATGGTCAGACTAGAAAAGTTGCTCTTTCCATTGCTTTTGTAGGACCGAGTACATGGCACACAGCAGGAGCGCCTTCTGTTCTTCCACACATACCCCACACTCTCGGTATTCTACCCTCCCATCTCACTCTATTTCAGAGACTCACTGCAACCCCCCCAAACCCTCTTCTCTCATATCGGACTCTGCGTCCTCCATACTGCTGAGCTTAGCAACCAGGCGCTTGGAGCTCTGTGTGTCCCGTTTTCACCAATATCAATATGGTTCTGCCTACTGAGGACTAGAACAATCCCTGAATGTTTTGTAATTGATCAAATGGGGCATTCAAAACAGGAAAAAGGTTAACCAATTACTCAGAGAGCATTAGCCTGACCGGCATGCTTACCTAGTAACCAGTGGGCAGGCACAGCACCTCTCTCGCTGTGACAAGCCACTCCGGCCCATGGCACAGCAGCACCCCTGCCCCTCCCCGGCTGGTTGCAGCAGCCTTGCCACCCGTGGTGGGACCCCAGTTAACTAATTAAAATTATATTGTTTAACCAATTAATTTGTAAAAGGTATTTACATCCCTAATTGAAAATTATTGCATTACAGACAGAAAGACAGATTAAGTTGAGTGTTAAACCTTGATTTGCTTGGGTAACTAACCTAATACTTCCCAAAAAAAAGTCACAGTAACTTGTTCCATAGAGTCCAAGTGGATGAAGCACAAATTCTTTTCAATGTGCTTTTACCTTGTCAGAGATATGGACTAAGATTTCCCCATTCTACCCACTTATCCTGTGAGGCTGCTTCCCACTGCAGGTCTTTCTCAAAAGTACAATTCTATATTGAAAAAAACCCCACCCTAAATAAGTGACCACACACACTATAATTCAACAGTCAGATCACTCTGGGTATTCAGAAGCCATAACTTCTCACTTTTCTGATTAAAATAAGGTTTTGCTATGTTTTCCTTTACTCTTCTTAGTGCCACAGACAGAGGATGGGACAGTTATAGAAAAATTCTCAGTTTTCTCCTGGCTCTGTCTCCAGCAGTCTAATTAGCTAAGCTCAACTTGCAAAAACTTAGCCTGGGATCTGTACATAAAGCTATCTGGGAATCTGCAATCCTCTAGTTTGAAAACAGCTTTTTACTGGTAGCCTGTCTGGATTTCATCTAGAAGTCATTGAGACAATCCCCACAACCCCATAAAACCACACATTAAGGTCACCTGGGGCTTTTAACTGAAAACTATTGCTGACTCCACTTTAAGGGCTTGCTAAAACCACAACCACCAATCTGTTGGGGACCAGTTGCAACACTGTCCTCAGTTGCAGGTAAAAACATGGCTCCTTCCAGTTGGTGCCCAGCTATTTTTATTTTAGCAATGTGCCTAACCCTGTGCTAAAGCCCTGCTCTGGCCAAGGCTGCAGCACAAATCAAAGACATGGTTACCACACTGATATCACTTACAAGACAGAACTGTGTTTTAATCACATCAACCCCATGTCATAAATTGGGTCACCAGATGTGGTTGTTACTGCAATACAGATGGACCCCAAAGTTCTCAACCTTGATAAGTTTATGTTTTACATACTGACCATTTCTCCATATATAAATTAGTAATGCTACGAATAGTTTTGAAAGTGATTTTTTCTATAGAGATCAATTTGATAGCTAAGTTAGAATTGCATTTAATCAGGATCTCTTGTTGTCACCCATTAAGTTGTGAACTTTCTCTATTAATTTGGTTCACCTAAGACAGTGATCACCAACCAGTAGATCGGGATCTACTGGTAGATCCTGGGGGCTCTGACAGGTGATCCTGACTGGTTTGGCCAGGGTGTTCCCCTCCACTGCCTCTCTACCCCCATCTCCACGGCGAGCAGGGTCGGGCCTCAGAGAAGGGGCAGAGATGGAGGTCCAGCAAGGGTATCTGGGTTTAGGCAGATCCTAGATTGACTTAGATTCAAAAAGTGATTTTGTGCTTTAAAAAATTAGAGACCACTGACCTAAGCTATAGTATAGACTAAAGATACTGTGAGCAGAATATCAATGAGTTAGATATTTCTTCACCTCCTTTCCTGAATTAAAGTGGACAATAATAATCATAAATGGCAAGACTGTTAATTCAAAATTTGTACTCTGAAAATACTTTGTCTTTTGCTTCATTTATAAAGTTGACATGGACCAAACTTCACTGTATTTAAAGAGCCATTTAAGACAATAAATACATGTGCAGTACTCTGTCTGAAAGGCAGTACTTGAAGCCAAGGATTTATTCTATTTCACCTTCATAAACGACTTAAATGTCCCAGCAAAACAATTACAATCACAAATAAAAGCAGCTTTGCTATAAGGAAGTCTATTGTGAGGGAGCGTTTGGTTTGATTTGAAATATTTTGAAGAAACAGATCATTTTAAGGTTAGCTCAATCAATGCCTTGCTTACAATAGATGCTGACTTGACTAATTCCCGGAAAGAATCTTTTATATATTTAAATATTAACTCATGTGGAGCAAAACCATGGCACTCCTACATATATACATGCCTACATCACTGACAATAAAGCATAACCATTTCAGGGAAGGAACCCACTTGCTCACACATTAGTGCTATTGGGTTGTTGACGCAGCCGTTGACAATCTGTGCTCCTTTTCCTACAGTGACTCCTTTGAAAGTCTTATCGTCCCACACGCGCCCACCAATCCTGTCTTTCGCTTCTAGCACAATGACCTGTAACACAAACATAGCTTAGGAAGTTGTCAGAGAAGATATTTTAAAAACCACCTATAAAGGCTCCACCAGGGGCGGATATAGAGCAGGGCGAACGGGGCGGCCGCCCCGGGCCCCGCGCATGCACATGGCGTCACTGTACATGCACCGTGGCAAAGGGGGGGCCCCGCGGAATTATGCTGCCCGGGGCCCCACAAAACGGTCATCTGCCCCTGGGCTCCACAATTAAGACAAAATTAAGCTGCTTAGTTATGTTACTTCATACTTTGTTTTATTGATAAATAGACATTAAAAGAGCAGCCCTTCCATTCACATTCCTCAAATTGTCATTTAAAGGCTATCTTAAAGGTATACATACACTCATACAATTACAAAACAAGGCTCTCAAACTTTAACCAAAATTAATACCTTAATAAAACTAAGCATGTGCTAGATAAAACTAATCATCATTTCCTTATCTCAACATCTACAAGGTGAAAAAATTTCCTATTTTTCAGATTTAGAGACGTGCTCCAGTTGTTTAAGTTAATATATGTTGACCTTTCACTTACCCTTTTAAAATACATTTCATATACTGAAAAATAAATATTTTCTAAAGGGACGAGGGTTCTAAGTGAGTAGTCGAGTCGAGTACTCAACTACTCGCATTGCCCTGCCTTGCTGCCTCTGTATCTGAGGCAGCAAGGTGGGAGGAAGCAGGAGCTGGTGCTGGGGGGATCTCGCTTAAAAGCTGTTTCCCCCAGCACCATTTCCACAGTGCTACCTTACCCCCACCCGCACTGCTGCCTCTATCATAGGCAGCAGCGGAGGAGGGAGAGGAAGAGACAGGGTGTGAAGCAGCCCCTGCCTGCCACGGGTCCAAGCTCACTGGGAACCTACATGGACAGGGGCTGCTGGACTTGGCGTGAACCAGGACTAAGCAAGCCCAGCTCAGTCCCAGTTGGACCCGGATCTGGGACTTACCCCCGCTGCGGCTTTGCAGTTTAAATGTAGTAACAGCAAAGTGGGCAGGTAGCCTGGCTCTTACTACATTTAAACTATAAAGCCGCAGCAGGGGTAGCACCCGGAGTCAGTGTGAGCCGAAATTGAGTGCTTTCCCTTATCCACTAATCGTGTCGTTGATAAATATTTTATCGACTACATGATTAAATACCTGCTTGTTAACATCCCTAAAAGAGACAAGCAATAATTTCCAATAAAACTGTTTTTACTGTTTGACATTAATATAATTCATTGCAAATTACCATTCATAAGCAAAAAAGCTTCAAAAATAAACTGCAAGGCGAAACTGCTGAGTTGGAATTCATATGCAAATTTGACACTGCCAAAGAGGTCTAAACAGAGACATGGAATGGCTTTCATTACAATAAGTCATTTTCCCTTCAAGCACTCTCATCTTCTCATCGCTGTTGAAAAAGAGCCACATCACCACATCCTGTGATGCTGTGCACAGGAAAGGGGACCATTTATACCACTGTTATTACCTCTGTTACACAATTTCCATAAATCTTGCACAACATGTATCATGTAAGTGGCAATGGAAAAGTTACAATCTATCTAATACAATTATCCTGATTAAATCCATGTATGATCTTTTTATCTAAAGTTGTAAATATTGGTTATGCATTTGTATCTCCAATATGTTTTGTTCCTGGGTGACATCTTTGAAATGGATTAACATCAGGGCTAGAAACCTATGCATTGATGGCCCATTAAGACACTCAGCTTACAGTGGGTCATTGAAGAAATCCATCCTGTCCAGTAAGCCTTTCTTTTAGACACCTCAGAAAGAATATGGCAAAGAGCTGCACAAGTGAGCAAAGCATGTGCAGACATGTGATAATGAGATGTGACTCCAGATAGGGACATTAAATTTCCTTGCACATGGCAAAGGCTATAAAGGATACCTCCATTTTGCCTCTTTCCTCTTCTAATTCTCTGGCTTGTGGATTTACAATTAAAAAGGAGCATCTTGAAATAGGGTACGTCTAGACTACATGCCTCTAGCAACAGAGGCATGTAGATTAGGCTACCCGGCATAGGAAAATGAAGCGGTGATTTAAATAATTGCCGCTTCATTTAAATTTAAATGGCTGCCACGCTGAGCCAATCAGCTGTTCGTCGGCTCAGCGCAGTAGTCTGGACGCTCGGAGGTCGACATCAAAGGCATTTGTCGACTTCCCAGGTATTACTCCTATGGACTGAGGACCTTCCAATCTTTTGGAAGTTACCAGAGAGATTTTATCACCGCTACAAACCTGATATTAGGACCATGCAATCATTTGTATTGTAGATGATTAATATATCATTTGTAGCTCTCTTCTTTTATTAATAAACCAGTAATTTGTTCACTAAGAATTGGCTGACTGGGTGATACTTGGGTAAGATCTCAGATACTCCAGATCAGTATGTATCTGATTCTTTGTGATCAGTAAGAAGCTCACACATGAAATACGTTTTAAAGAACCTCTTGGTATCTTAGATCTGATTGTATGTATGGGAGCTAAGGGGTCAAATACCTAAAGAAGACTGTGTTCAACTTCTGGTTAACCAATGTGGTACTGCAGAAGCTTTTTTGTTACTGGCTTTAGGAATCTAATTCTAGAGTAAATCACCAGTTTTGGGGGAGTGTCTGCCCTATTTCCTGAAGTCTGCCCTAAATATGGCCTTTTCAATGTGGCCCATTCAGGCAGCTGGTCACAATGATATTCAAAAGAAATCAAGAAGCCAGCTGCTCAAATCTGACAATCTCTAGTTCTGCAAACATTTACACACGGTAGCAGTTGGCCACTAATTTTAAAGGGGACTTCACATGTACAAAATTATTTCAAGGTAAATTTTTGCAGGATCAAGATGATTAGAGCCATCAAAAAGAGTGGAGGAAGAGGAATATAATCAAACATATGCAATTTATGTGCATTTGTTTATTATAAATAAATCACATCAATTATTTTGAATTTTGGTAAAGTTAATTTAATAAACAAGAGTTAATTTTCCTTATTATTTACATTATGAAAGCACCTAAAGAACAAAATAAAGGATCAGAGTGTCTGTTCTAGACAATGTTCTCATAGGTCATTTTTAAAAATAGAACATAAAATATGTACTAAACTTATTGCTGTTTTGCTTTGATTGTTTGACTTTAAAAACAAACAACAGATATTACCTAACCTAATTAACCACTAGATTTTGTACATTTATTGGGCTCTTCTATGGACACATCTGTATTAGAAATATAATTTTTCCACTCCTGAACAGCAGGTTTCTAAACTCCCTCCAGTAGGAGGTCTGCTGTTAGTAAGTGTTGAATAACGTTATTTATCCCAAAGCTTCTTACCTTAATTCCAAAGTTGTGCAGTTGTCTTGCAGCTGCTAATCCTGCTGGCCCAGCACCAACAATGATGACAGATTTCTTTTTTGTTTAAAAAAAAAAAAAAAAAAGAAAAAGAAAAGAAAGAAAGAAGGAAAGTAGCAAATGTTCTTCTAGAAGAAAACTGTCAGTGCAAAACCAAAAATCAATCCTTGCACACAAGAAGTGAAATCTGTACTCCCACTGATTTTGGTGGTGTGGGATCAGGCCTGTGTTCTCTAAAACAGTCAACGATGATTTTGAAAGGCATGATTAATTAGGGTTCATGGTAGGCCTGTTACTGCAATGGGGACACTAGTTTAAAACAGATGTCTCAATTTACTTTGACTAAAACAGTACTGATAAAAAGCTAAGCAAGATCAAAAGCATCATGTATCTTGTAAGAATCTTTGATCACAAACGTCATTGAATAATGAAGACTAGTTTAAAATGCACTCACTATTCACTTACATGTAGCATAAAACTGTAATTGTCCATTTCTAGGAGATGCTACATTACATAAGAATATAAGAACATAAGAATGGTCGTACTGGGTCAGACCAAAGGTCCATCTAGCCCAGTAGCCTGTCTGCCGACAGTGGCCAGCACCAGGTGCCCCAGAGAGGGTGGACCGAAGACAAAGATCAAGTGATTTGTCTCCTGCCATCTTTCTCCAGCCTCTGATGAACAGAGGCCAGGGACACCATTTCTATCCCCTGGCTAATAGCTTTTTATGGACCTAACCTCCATGAAATTATCTAGCTTCTCTTTAAACTCTGTTATAGTTCTAGCCTTCACAGCCTCCTCTGGCAAGGAGTTCCACAGGTTGACTACATGCTTTATGAAGAAGAACTTTATTTTATTAGTTTTAAACCTGCTACCCATTAATTTCATTTGCTGTCCTCTAGTTAGTCCTCCTATTATGGGAACTAATAAATAACTTTTCTTTATCCGTCCTCTCCACACCACTCATGATTTTATATACCTCTATCATATCTCCCCTCAGTCTCCTCTTTTCTAAACTGAGAAGTCCCAGTCGCTTTAACCTCTCTTCATAGGGGACCCATTCCAAACTCCTAATCATTTTAGTTGCCCTTTTCTGAACCCTTTCCAAGGCCAAAACATCTTTTCTGAGGTGAGGAGACCACATCTGTACACAGTATTCAAGATGTGGGCGTACCATAGTTTTATACAGGGGCAGTAAGATATTCTGTCTTATTTTCTATTCCTTTCTTAATAATTCCTAGCATTCTATTTGCATTTTTGACCACCGCTGCACTCTGTGTGGAAGTTTTCAGAGAACTATCCACGATAACTCCAAGATCTCTTTCCTGATTTGTCATAGCCAAATTAGCCCCCATCATACTGTACGTGTAGTTGGAGTTATTTTTCCCGATGTGCATTACTTTACACTTATCCACATTAAATTTCATTTGCCATTTTGTTGCCCAATCACTCAGTTTGGTGAGATCTTTTTGGAGTCCCTCACAGTCTGCTTCTGTCTTGACCATCCTAAACAGTTTGGTATCATCCGCAAACTTTACCACCTCACTGCTTACCCCTTTCTCCAGATCATTTATGAATAAGTTGAAAAGGATTGGTCACAGGACTGACCCTTGGGGGACACCACTAGTTACCCCTCCCCATTCTGAAAATCTACCATTTATTCCTATCCTTTGTTTCCTGTCTTTTAACCAGTTCTCAATCCAAGAGAGGACCTTCCCTCTATCCCATGGCAATGTAATTTACACAAGAGCCTTTGGTGAGGGACCTTGTCAAAGGCTTTCTGAAAATCTAAGTATACTATATCTACTGGATCCCCCTTGTCTGCATGTTTGTTAACCCCTTCAAAGAACTCTAACAGATTAGTAAGACAGGATTTCCCTTTACAGAAACCACACTGACTTTTGTCTAACAAATTATGTTCTTCTACATGTCTCACAATTTTATTCTTTACTATTGTTTCGACTAATTTGCCCGATACTGAAGTTAGACTTACCGGTCTGTAATTGCCAGGATCGCCTCTAGAGCCCTTTTTAAATACTGGTTTTACTTTGGCTACCTTCCAGTCATTAGGTATGGAAGCCGATTTAAAGGACAGGTTACAAACCACAGATAACAGTTCAGCAATTTCCCATTTGAGTTCTTTTAGAACCCTTGGATGAATGCCATTTGGTCCCGGAGATTTGTTAACATTAAGTTTTTCTATTTCTTCCAAAACCTCCTCTAATGACACTTCAATCTGGGACAGTTCCTCAGATTCATCACCTACAAAGGACGGTGCAGGTTTGGGAATCTCCCTAACATCCTCAGTCGTGAAGACAGAAGCAAAGAAATCATTTAGTTTATCCGCAATGGCTTTATCATCCTTCATTGCTCCTTTTATATCTCGATCGTCTAGGGGACACACAGGTTTTTTTAGTGGGCTTCCTGCTTCTAATGTACTTAAAAACCATTTTGTTATTTCTTTTTAAGTTTTTGGCTAGCCGTTCTTCAAAATCTTTTTTTGCTTTTCTTATTACATTTTTACACGTGATTTGACAGTGTTTGTGTCTATTTATCTCACTAGGATTGGACTTCCACTTCTTAAAAGATGCCTTTTTGTCCCTCACTGCTTCTTTTACATGGTGGTAAAGCCAAGGTGACTCTTTTTTAGGTCTCTTGCTATGTTTTTTAATTTGGGGTACACATTTAAGTTGGGCCTCTATTATGGTGTCTTTAAAAAGTTTCCATGCAGCTTGCAGGGATTTGGCTCTAGTCATTGAGCCTTTTAATTTCTGTTTAACTAACCTCCTCATTTTTGTGTAATTCCCCTTTTTGAAATTAAATTCCAGAGTGCTGGACTGCTGAGGTGTTCTTCCCACTACTGGAATGTTAAATGTTATTATATTATGGTCACTATTCCCAAGCGGTCCTGTAACGGTTATCTCCTGGACCAGATCCTGCGCTCCACTCAGGACTAAATCGAGAATTGCCTCTCCCCACAGAAAGTTCATCCATGTCCACAATGACAACAGAAACCACAGTACTGATGAGCCCACTGAAGTCAATGGTGATTAACACTTCGCTAGCAAGAGAAAAGAGTTAAGCTGGGTCTAAACATGATCCTGACAAATACAGTTGGAATTACTGATTGAAACAAGAGCCCAAACTTGAAAACAGAAATTAAGCAGCAGCATACTCTGTCTACTAATTAATGAGAATATTACAGTTACCTACATTGTGGTAATCTTTGGGAAGAAGATATTGATCAGGACCGACTGACAAAATCCCTGTATTAATCAGCCCTTTTCTTGACATAAAATAAAGTATCCTCTCCATCTCTTGTACACAGCGAATACGTACAAGCCCCCGCACAATGATGCAATGTGTACACTTGTGAGGGGTGAGAACTTCCTGCATGTTGGGAAATAAGAACAAAATGAAGGCATATTAACCCAAAATTCTCCATGTTTTCCTATGCTTAAAATATATTTCTTCTGTAATTCGGTTGCTTAAGTCTAACCTCTAATCACACAGGTTTCTAAAAGGATTAAAAAAGAGTAAAAGGTCAGTTTTGTGTGTCAGACAATTGCAAGGGAGAATCGCTAGGCCATTTGAGTCTTCCAATTCTCCTATAATCAGAGTGAATTAGCATAAAACAAATAAGGTAAGAGTACAATGGACCTTGGCTACACCCATTATGCTTGCCAAATAAATATAGATATCTCAGCGATGCTAAGAATTCCAGCTTTTCCACTGAATATCCTCTGGAACCACCCAGTAAAGGTTTGTGCAAGTTGTTTGCTACTCCACCCAAAGTCAAAACAAGATCATATTCAAAAATCTTGAAGTGTTTTTAGAAAATCATCCAGGCTTCTGATCTCATTTATACTGGTATAAATCAGAAGTAACTTCAGTAAAATCAGTGGAGTTAAATCAGTGTAAACAAAAAAAGAGAAACAACCCTGTAACCATGTTTAGGATCATCTGTATCCCTGCAGAAGAGACTTCCATTCACTACATGACAGTTGTGTTGCAAACAACATGTTCAATCTGGACTGAGTTTCTAAACTACTAGAAGCTTTGATGCACTTCCTTTTTCTTGAGGGATCCTCAGCTATAGTTTTGCTTTAAGCCTGTTCTCACACTTACCCAGGTTCATAAACATTCACCTACCTAACATTCATAAACAAAAAATAGTGAAGTGCCCTAAAAAGTAATTTAATTTCCCTTTAGCAAGCTTATGCAGGGCCTTCATCTTAAAACTGGAATGTTTCAAAACCATGTGCAGATCTCTTTTAGGGAAGTTTCTTGACATTATTAAGTATAAGCAATTATTTTGTTTGGTGCTTGTGTCTTCTACACTTTGTACGGTATTTACAAAATCCCTGCATTAATCAGTCCTTTTCTTGACATAAAATAAAGTATCCTCTCCATCTCCAGAGTGTAATTACTATGTCTAATGAAAATTCTTTGTAGCACACAGACACTATTCCACAGACTCCAGGAAGGTTCTTATGCCCATACTTCTTGGAGGCAGAGCCTAAGAGCACATTATTAGTAACTGTAAAAGTATGCCATTAACTGTTGGTCTTGCTTACTTTGCAATTTGTGTACCACAAAGACAGGATGAGGTTTCTCAAAGCTAGGTACATAGTCGGATCTCGTGAATATTCTGGGAACTCATAGAGCTCATCTAATTCCATGACATCTGGTCTCACACAGAGTGCTTTACCACATTCATTGGGCTGATAGAAAGGCTGGAAGTATTTGTTCATCCCTGAAACGTAGTAAAGACAGGCCATGAATTAGTCATACTCTGCTATATCGACTGATCCTGTCCTAGCCACTGAACATACCCAGTGACCACCCTCAGGGCGATAGCGGGGAAATCCTCAAACTTCTGACAACTCTGAGGATTATCCCAAGGTTGCACTGCTTCATTCCCTTCTCTACTCTCCAAATCTTGCAATGCAGACCATCCTTCCAGCTAAAGGGGTCTGGACTTATCCAGGTTAGAAGTCTTTTTTGGCTCTCTGGGAAACACCCACGTGGGACAAATGGATGCAGTAAAAGGAATCCAGGCCATTAGATATTCTAGTCTGACATTCACATAATTCTTCTCTCTCTCTAAACAAGAATCTCAAAATACTTTATAAACAGTAATAATGTAAGTAAGCCTCACAGAAGTGCTGCAAAGTCTCTAACCTTATAGAGAAATAAAGTGATTTGCAAAGATTGCATGGAAAAATTTATATCCAGTTTAGAAAAGAACCCATATTTCCTGTCTCATCATCACACTGCATTAACCTCAAGACCATCCTTCATCCCAATGTGCAGTACAGTTATTCAATTCAAGTAACCGAACATGCAACATTCAAGAAAAGGACACAAATCTTTGCAGAGCTATATCATGGAAACAGAAGCTCTAACACCCCTTACCAGCCACACTAGGTGCACTCTTTATATGCTCTAACTTCACAGCATTAGATTCACCAAGTAATCGGTTAGTGCTGGTGCAGGAGGGACTCATCCCTACGCAGTCTGGATAGTAAGCAGACAGAAGAGGAGCTGCCACACTGTCTTTGAGCAAAGGAGGGAGGATGAGCATGGAGTACCACCAAAGGTCTGAAACTTCAGCAACTCTCTGGATGGAAGAAAGATGGCAGAAGAGAACAAGCATCAGTACTCTGAACACATCTGATTTGGTTTTTCCATTTTACCCCTCATAACTCAGACCTGCCAGCACTAAAAGCACCAGCTTTTTTTGGGGCCCCCCCCCCCCCCCCCCCCATTTTTCTCCCTGACTTAGGATATGTCTACACTACCAGGTTTTGTCAAGGAAATTAATGTCAAGACTCAGAAGTTGCCAAAGAGAGTTGTGTCTGTGTGTTTACATTTGCTCCCTTTGTTGACAGATTGTGTCCATATATTTAGCTCCCCCATCGACAGCAATGCACTGTGGGTATGTATCTCACAGTGCCCGGTGACACTAACCGTCGGTAGGTGTTGTGGGACTGCAGAACATAGCGCGGAACATCTTGGGACCACACAATGTCCCATCAGACACCAATTTGCTCAGGGGCTTCCAACATCCTTTTGCGTTGTTTCTCCAATTGCCATTCTCCACTGTGCATGTTTGCATCTGCAGCAAGAAAGAATGGATCCCACACTTCTAATTGTCATGAGGACCTTGTGCATAGCAGCAGAGATCATCTTGAAGTTGCTGACAGAAGACGACTCAGAGGAGCTTAACAGTGTGATATGGCAGCGGCTGTCCAGGATAGATTGGTGCTTTTGGACAAGGGAAATCAGCACTAATTGGTGGGATCACACTGTCATGTACTACTACTGAAGGGCTACTACTGAACTTTAGGATGCATAAAGCAACTTTCTTGGAGCTGTGTGCTGAGTTGGTCCCCGAACTGCAGTGTCAGGACATCAGAATGAGAGCTGCTCTCTCAGTTGAGAAGAGTGTGGCAGTCGCCATGTGGCAACTCCCAATTGCTACCAGTCAGTTGCAAATCAGTACTGCTGCAAATGTGCAGGGCAATAAATCATGTTCTGCTATGGAGGACCAGGACTCTGGGAAAAAGTGCATGACATAGCAGCTGGCTTCGTGGATATGGGAGTTCCCAGCTGTGGGGTGAAGGCCATACATGCACACACACTCTAATTTTACCGCCAGCTGACCTTGCCACCGAGTACATTAATAGGAAGGGATATTTCTCAATGGTGCAGCAGGTGCTTGTGGATCATTGTGCATGTTTCACAGACATCAGCATGGGGGGCTCTGGAAAAAGTGCTGAGCACACCCATCTTTCTAGCCTGTACAGAAAGCTGCAGGCAGGGACTTAGGTACTTTCTTGACTACAAGATTGCAGTAGGGGATATGGAATTGCCCATATCCTAGGGGGTGTATCTAGACTACACCCCTCTGTCAACACAGAGATGTAGATTAGGCACATTGAAATTATTAATGAAGGGGGGATTTAAATATCCTGCACTTCATTAGCATAAACATGGCTGCCACTTTTTTATAAATGGAGCTTTTTCGGAAAAACGGTAGTCTAGACGCGGATCTGTCGAAAAATAAATGCTTTTTCAAAAGATCTCTTATCCCTCATAAAATGTGGTTTACAGGATCTTTCGAAAAAGGCTTTATTTTTCGACCGAGCTGTGTCTAAACTGCCATTTTTATTTTTTCGAAAAAGCTCTGTTTCGAAAAAAGTGGCAGCCATGTTTATGTTAATGAAGTGCGGGATGTTTAAATCCCTGCTTCATTAGAAATTTCGATGTGCCTAATCTACATCTCTCTGTCAACAGAGAGGTATAGTCTAGACACACCCTGGGAGACCTGGCTTATCCACTGAAGGCCTGACTCATGAAACTGTACACGAGGCACCTAGACAGCAGGTAGGAGCATTTTAGCTACAGGCTGAGCAGGTGCCGCGTGGTGGTTGACTGCACCTTTGGGAGATCGAAGGCGAGATGAGGCAGGGATCCAGAAGGCAGGCTAGACCACACCAAAGACAATAGTCCCACGGTTTTCGCAGCTTGTTGCACTTTGCATAATTTGTGTGAAAATAAGAGGGAACTAGTTACTTGGGGATGGAGCATGGAAGCATAGCAGGTCACTGCAAAGTTTGAGCAGACAGTTCAAAGGGCTGCTGTCAACAACAGGAGGCTTTGAGGGTGCACTTTGAAAAGGAGGGGCACTGAAATAAGCCTCTGTTACAGTTGCTTCCACACTGTACCCCTGCAATGCAACTCATAGCCAGAAACATGATTTTCAAGCCTGACCTGAGATTTACTGTTGGGATATTTCTACACACAAGTTTTAGTTCGGGAGAAGGATGCAAATAGCGCTGCGCATTTGCATACTGCCTCAGGGTTTTTTTGGAAGACGTTCTTCCAGTATTTACCCTACGTTTCTTAAAAAGTAAATAAAAGCATAGAAAATTATAAAAGTGTGGCTTTTATCATCAGAAAACAGTGCACTGACATGCAATAAAGCACCCCTGAGAGCTGGGCAGGCAGGTGCTAGCGAAGGATTACAACTCAGAAATGTGTGTACGCCCAGGTATCGATCAAAGTGAGGACAACAGTGGAGTGCATGGGAAAATGAAGACCCCTAGACTGAAAATGAACATGGAGGGTATAAAAAGGAGGTTGCTGGATGCAGAATTTTGAAGCTGCTGTAGAGGTGGATGAACCAGTGTTGGCACACTCTGCTGCTTCACTCAACAATTGAGGATCTCAGTCCATTTCTCCTTCACCCTGACCGTGCGCTCTATGGCCTGCCCAGAGAAGGCCTGGTTGTCCTTTAATTCCTTTTCCAAGCATTGTTGCCAACGTCTGCACTCACTCATTGATTGATTTAGCATTTTGTGAACCAAATCCTCCCTATTTTTTCTAGGATTTCTTCCTTATCTGTTGCTACCTCTCCAATGTACTATGGAGCAGAGCTGTCGAGATCTCTACTGTTCAGCACAACGCACAAAAAGGACTATGTTAACATTGAATCCTACATTGTAACAATTCACTTACAAACCTGTTTTCCAACATTTCTGCTTACTTTCCCCCCGACAAGGAATGCATCTTGACAACCACCACAATAATTGTAAGTGAAGGGTGGGGGCAGCTGGCAGCCGTGCATACTAAGGATGTTAACTATCGGTTATTTTACTAGTCGAGTACTTGATGGAATTTCCATCGACTACTCTGCTAGTTGATTGGCACTTCTGCATTCCTTCTTTGAAATGTACAATGGCCCCCACTGGGGCTCTTGTACATTTCAAAGGAGGAATGAGGAACTCTGCGTACAGCCCAGGGACAGCAGGAAGTCCCACTGACTCCAGGCTGCAGGAGGGCATGCCTGCTTTGAAATGTACAAGAATCCCTCACCAACCCCAGGCTCCATGCCGCGCTGCCAATTTGAAATGCCACACGGAGCTGATCCTGGCTTCCACGGAAATGCCGCGTTGGAGCCTGGGATCAGCCGGGGAGTCCCCAGCTGATCCTGAGCTCAGCTGTGTGGCACTGCCCCTTTGAAGTATCTGTCAGAAGCAGTGGGGAAGGGGAAAAGGGGGGAAAAAAATCGACTTAACATCCCTAGCTCATACAGACAAAAGAAAATTCCCTTTCGCAGAAACATAGTACTGCTTAGGCCGCACTTCTCCATAGGTGGTTAAAACCTGGCAAACATCTGCCTGCTCAGCTGAAGCAAGGAAACCAGGGCACAACTTCCCCAGGCTTGTGGCTTTCACCTTGCTCCATATGCAGCCCACCTATGTTCGGCTTTGGTTCCTCCATAAGTGATTGATGAATGGTACAGAGCAGTGTCCTGCAACGAGTGAGGGGACAAAGCTGCACTGCAACAGACTCTGCGGCAGAAAATTGACAAGGACATCTCCAAATTTCAATAGCCTGTCTCCGCAGGATTCCATTGAGATCACAGTGAGCATCAACATGCTGGTTGTCCATATTGACCACACAGGGATCTGCACAGCTCACAGAAACACAGCCAGCCTCCCACTTTTCCATGCCCTGAGACCTGCAATCCATCAGTACAGGAGAACAGTTCCTGGCTGCTGGACACACTTGGCACCCCTGGTGCTTGTCTACTTCATCCTCCTCATCTACAGTTTCATCCTCTGAATTAGATCCTCTGTATGCTGCATCTGTTCCCTCTGAAGTATCCACGGGAAGGTAGGGTCACAGTAGAGGACAGCGTCCAGCTCTTTATAGAAACAGCAGGTCTTCAGTAAGGCACCAGAGTGTTGGTTCGCTTCATTGGGCCTAATGATAGGCTCTTTAATCTTCGATCTGCACTGCAGTGTGTCCCGCTTTTACCTCTTTTCACACAAGGATCAAGAAATGTCTCAGTTCCTACAGGTCACTCACAGCTGGGACTGACCAGTCTACTCTCCCCATACACTGGTCAGATCCAACACTCTGTAGCGGACAAGCAGGGGAAGTGTTTGGTGCAATGGCCACACATGGGCACTTGAAAAGATGCCAAGAGACCACTGCACACTGAGCCATCACATGTGGGGCAGAGATGTCCATGTGCTCAGGCAGCCAGAAATGGGATTTAAATTGTAAGGGGCTTATAAGGGGACAGGGTGGGTAGCTGGTCATGTGGCTGCAGGGCAGCAGAGTTCAAACTTCTGACCAAAGCAGCTGTTTGGGAATTGTGGTCCACTTTCTGGAGGCCAGAATCAGCAGCAAAATGCTTTGAGGGATCAACACTGTGTGTCTGTTGATAACACAGGGAGGGGAAAAGAAAAAAGCCCCTTATGGAATAGAAGTTTTGTGTCATAAAAAATGGCTGTTTTTCATGACAAAAGTCATGTTGCAGTGCGAACACCCATGCAGTTTTGTCTACAAAAGGCGCTTTTCCTCAACAAAACTTGCCAGTGTAAACAAAGCCTTAGAAAGCTTGACCTGCTGCCACATGCAGCAGAAATGAAACTGGCAAGAGTTACAAACTCAGCATCCATTCAGCAAACTAAAAAAAATGAGACATACTTCTTTAACTCATGCATTCTAGGCATTTTTAATTGTCCCTAGTTCATAATACATAAAACCTATCCATTTCATTTACATCCCTTCCTCTCTGTGAGAAAGAACCTTGACTTGCAGATCTATAGCTACAATGTAAAACAAACACACATCAAAAAGCTTAAATATATAGGCAAGCTCCCCCAAGTATTTGCAAGAATTCACCTGAACAAATTATGTGGCATATTTCACCTGTGCTCTTTGGTTTATTGCACATAATGTTGTGCAGAGAAACTGTAATGCAGTCTGATGGCATCCCAATATATTATGCCACACTTCAAAACAGTCACACCTTTGTATTTATTGTGAAACATTACAGTTTAGATTTTCACATATTCATGAAGACAATTTACGAAATAGGAGGCTAGGCTGATTAATGAACAGTCATGTACAGGCAACTCACCAGATCTTCAGGCATGGAACACTGGTCTGAGCCCTCAATCTGAATGAGAAATGTAACTACATCAGAACCAATCTACAGCCACACAAGTATATTAAATAAAAGAAGCAGACTCCCGTATAACTCCTTTTGACTTAAAAATATATTTTAAAAAGAGTGCTCTATTTTAATGTTTCATAGCACAGATAATTACCAAGAAGAAATAGATGAGTAACTTTTTACAATACATTATATTAAAAATACTAAAAAGACAATCACCACAGATAAAGTTCTTGGCTGAAGGAACTGAATGTACTTGGCAATCTAATTATCCCACATTAGCATATAAGTAGTGGGGTTAGGTGGAAACTGAGAGGAGTTTCAGCTAACATTGCATTTCAGTGTGCTGTAATCCAGACAGCTGTCCCCCTTCACATATGCATGTATCTGCAGGATTATATAAACATTTGATAAAAATCACTTCCTGTGCGTACACAATATCCTACTTTCAAATACACGCTAACACCACTTGTCCTCAGTGAGAACTATGTCAAAAACAAGTTTGATAGCTCTGAAATTGCTACTAAACTATCTAAAAGTGGTCTGAGCAGGTGAAAAAAAAGTGTTTCATGTTAAAAATCACACACACACAAATACAAATGCACACACAAAAAACAAACAAAAAAAAGTCCACCCAGATGTTCTAGGAAGATTCCACTCTAGGCTGAAAAACCACAGGAAAATTCTCTTTATCAGAGAATTAAAGGATAAACTCCTGTGCCTACGGACATCAATAACACTAGAATTTCACCTTAAATGATTGAAAGCAGACTTATGACAAAAGTCCTTCCTCAACCATAACTCTAGTATTGCTAGTGAACTCCTAAATGTCATATCTTACTTTCCTCCTATTAAATCTGAATATTTTCATTTCAGATGTGAAGGAGGACAGGTGCACATTAAAAAACTAAAAAGTTATTGGACATTTCAGATGTTTTGACTAGTAGCAAAAAAAAAAGTCAAACTGAAAAAAGGATATTAGATAGTCACACATTTTGGAAGCAACAACTTTTGTGGAGATTTTTTAATATGCTTTTTGAAACATGATTTTACAATTAATTGCATGAGTATTTCTACAAATGATGTTTTGGATATTGCAGTTTCATCACTTTTCCTGAGGAAAACCCTTAAATTGCTGTAGAATACAAACTATACAGCTCCTAAGATAATCAACTCATCATTCTAACAAACATAAATGTTAAAAGAAAAAATAAGCAAAAGTTAATGACTATAGTAACAAAACCACCTTAACTACGGTTAAGTAAGGGCAAGCAGTGTTGCTATTACCTTAGCAGAATTGTTCAGTTTCATACCACATCGGTATGTTTTTGCAATTTGTGAGGTAAGCTGGATTTCCTTTGTCAGCTGACGCCATTTCCCACACTCTGGTTTTGTGCACTGCACCTAAAAGTAAAAAACAAACATGTTTTAACTTGCAGTTGACTCTGATTATAGATCAAGTTCATGATGCAACAAACAACAGCAAAAGAATAGGATAGTTAGAAAACCTACTTTGTGATCATAACTAATGGGTAAGAAATAAGGAAGATGCAAAAGAGTTGTTATATACATTCACATAAGGTGCAATTTACCCTCATGCAGACCACCAGCACAAGGATTATACACAGTTTAAGCCTGCTAACTCTCTATGGGCTTATGCAGTGAAGAGGCCTATAAGTTGCTTAAGCCTCCAAAGTGTAAATAAGACAAACTGTTCATATTCTTTCTGCTGGTCCTCTAGGAGGGTGAATTTCACTCACAGGACTGTATTGAACACACAATTCCCACTTTTTCATTAGGGTTTGAAGATACACAGTGTTGAAGCAAAGGCACAACAGTATATTGCAGGATTAAACCTATATTAACCATTGCTGCCTGAGCTCTCCCATTCCATCCTCAACTAGTGGAAGGTATACTCCCTTCCCATTCATTTTACTCACCTACCACGCCATTATGGCTGTTTTTTTCACTCTCTATTTTCCCTATTGCTACCACCCTCTTTCCCATCACAACCTGCCCACTCCTCACATCTGCTTCCATTTGAACTTCATCCTAAATTCTTCCTGCTGCCTCAGTAATTAGACATAGGAACTGAATATTGCACAGAGAGGGCTTAGCCAAGGATTGGGAAAGTTTTCTGATAGTAGAGGAATTGATAAGGATTATTATGGGGAATCTGTCTTACCCCACCTTTCTAATACCAGAAGTTTTCCTAGAGCTGAACCTGCTACTTGATCTTCAAACACTAGAAACTCCTCAACACACACAGAGAGATCATAACACAAAGCACTGTATTCCTTACCCAGTAAGGAAGCTGTTGATCAGCCATGAAAGCTTTAGGACTGGGCTCGCTTTTACCATTACTGGTCCAAATCCTTTTCCAAGCAGTGTATTTCTCATAGCCATCTTTATGACTAAGAGGAAAGTTAAAGTAAATGGCAAACAGTTAGCAAGTGGACTGGTCCAGTCTACTTAAAGAACACTTATTTTTAAAAAATCATTTTTAGAAGAGTAAGAGACACAAACAGACACACACACACACACACATAAGGCTGAGAATAGTCCCCTTTTTAAGAAATAAATGTGACAGCAGTCAGGGACTATCTAGGCCTACATTTCCTTTCAATAATAAATCCAGGGCCTAATACACAAGGTCAAGATGAGCTACAGCTCAGCACAAAAATGCCATTCTGGTCTTTCTAGTCAGTAAACTTCTAGTGTCAAATTCACTCATTGATGTGGGATACTTGGAACCTGAAAGCACCTTGTAAAACTAAATTCCTACCACCCTCATCTAGATTTATTCCAACTACAGTTACTTAAAATTGTGCTTGTTTATAATTAGCTTTAGCAGAATTCAAGCCTTTTTTTTTTGTAATTTTGACAGACAATATAAATTTTTATTAAGTATTTGTTTTATTTTCATTGGTTTATTTCACAGTTGTGGGAAAATATAGAAGGGTCAGGCATTAATTCATGCCAGTGGAACAGTGAGATTCAAAACAGTAAAAGCTTTATAGCAATTGACAATTTGTATTTTAACAACTCATATCAAAATGTTCAAAGTAAATATCCTTAAATCAAACTCTAATATGTTCTCAAGCAGTATGTGTTTTACTTTGCCTATCTGTACATTTGTATTATAATTTATGGAAACTGTTTTTCAATAATTTGCGTGTGTGGTGAAATTGACATTTGCTAACATTTACTGGTAAAAAAAAACCCTAATTCTTCTGAGCAGAGCTGCAGCTGGGGAGTGGAGAGAGTGTAAGAGGGCAACTGCCCCTGGGCCTGGTGCTACCGCGGCAACAGCAGCAGCTGGAACCCTTTAAAGTGCTGAGGAACCCTGCAGGTGGCACTGAAGGGCTGGCTGGGAGGGGCTGGCCCTCCAGTCCCACCTCTTCTGCCCAAGACCCCTCCACCCGCTTTGCCCAGGGCCCCCACAAACGTGTTTCCAACCCTGCTTCCACGCTTGCTTACCATTTACAATTTGACAGTATAATCTTTAAAAATAAGGAGGCTTTTGAGATGCTTTCCAAAAGAACAGCTTTGCAACTCATTACTTGCTGGTTTTATTCTGTTTATTTATACTCTTTAAAAAAAAAAAACTCACTGAACACTATTTTTTTTTAAAGTCACACAAGAACTGAAATACAGCTCACTTTTTGGTTGATGGATGGCCCACACACCAGTTGCAGCATATACAACTTACACCTAACAGTCTCTAAGTCTCACTTCAAAATAAGGTCAGTAGTAAGGAGAAAGTTTCAAATATTTGTTTCAGTCAATGAGAATGCACATTTTTAATAGCCAGTCAATCTCTCCAGGATTTCAAACGAGACATGGTCTCAATAAATATACCTTCGATAATAGTGATCAAAACACTCATTGCAGAAATGTTCCCCACATGAGAGATGATACCATCTAGATGTGTAGCCATTTTTAGCACACCTAGAACACAAGAAAACATGTAGATTGCATTATGATACTTTAAAAAAAAAATCCATTGGACCCGGATTCATTTTAAAATTTAAAGAAATTTTAAGGCCAGGGCATGGCAGAAAAAAAAACAGGATTCTCTTCTGTTTCTTTTTATGTTTATACAGTGCTTTGACAAAAGACAATACTGCACTCCTTATTCAAGCAAAAAACCCAATAAAGTCAATTAAATATTCCTCTAAAATTAAAATTATATGGTGGCAGAGCACAATGGTGTCTGAAATGGCTAGCCATGAGATGATTTAATTTCCATAAGTGATCATATGAAAGTATTTTTAAATAATAGCACCATCAAAATAAGACTTTAAAATGATTAAAATGTCTAAATTGCTTCCTGAATATTAACATTTAAAATAATTTCTTATGGTTTCCTGGTTAACAAAAGTCCTATATGTCATATATTAAATTGCCAAAACTTCCAGCTTTCCTGTCACAAATTTTATAATGCAGACATTGCCTTTCAAAATTAAAAAGGTTCAATTTAAAACTTGGACATAGCTTAAAATAATTGTGTAATGCAGTTAAATTAATAGCACATCATTAGACTGGGAGGGGCATATATTTAGAATAGCATGCTGCTTATTATAAGCCTGGCCTATATGGTAATGCCTTACTTCCAAATACCTCTAAATGAAGGATATTCATTTTTTTAAAAAGTCCTTAAATAAAAGTTAAACATGAAGTTAGTCTTGAGTGAAAACAGGATGTTATAATTAAAATAGTTTTGCAACATTCAGAGCCAATCTGCAGATTTAGCACATTAATGACAGATTTCAGAATGCTGTAACTACTCAGAAGAAATATAGCATAGTATATGATGGCTTCATTTTATGTTTTATAGGGAAGCTCTTCTGTGTATGTTTCATAAACAGGCCCTTAATTTCACAGAAACAAAATCTGTTCCAGAAAACAGCAGACATATTGCATTAATAATCCTTATTCTTGAGAAATGTTCATTCAAAATGGCAAAAAGTAATCCACAAGAGAGGCTGTTTGTGATGATTCTCTGGTACTTCAAGTCTACAACCAGCATTACATCTTTTGTCCATAGATTTAAGAGATTTTGTCAAAAACATAGTTATGTAAGTACAGAAAGACAAACCTTTCAGCAGCACTTGCAAAGCAAACAGGACAAGTTGCAGTGCATCCAGCTTTTTCACATTTTCTATATTTCTTCTCTGATGCCTCATCATCATCCTCTGCTGCTTCAGCCGCCTTCTTCTTCACCTGATAAAGAACAGTCATAATTGAATTCTCAGAGTATCTGTGACTAGAAATGACAACGATGCTCAATTTTCTACAATGCAACATTCAAAGATTACTTTATTTCGTAATTCAGATCACAGCAAGGACAGGTTAAAATAATATAAATCAGATGTTTGGAATCCATAATAAAAATAACTATTGTGTGGGACAATTTGATGACTGTCAAGGAAGGTCAGTTTTAAAGAGTCAACAATTTTGGCAACGTACATTTCACCTAAAGGCTTCTTGATTTAGTCTTCTGACAGCTTTCCAGCTTCAATTTCAATTAATATTTACGGGCCTTTGGATTCCAATATTTCTAGCACCATCATACCAATCTCTCATTACAATGTTTTTATTGCACAAAGTCAATCAATATTAACCCACATCGATAAAGATATTGTCATCTGCTCCTAAAATATAAAAGTTAATTTTTAAAGTAACCAAAGTCCAATACAGAACCATCAACCTGGTCACTCTGGGCATTTTACAGCTGTTTCCAAACTTTTCCAGATGGGGACCTATTTTGACAATTCAGGAAGACTTGGTGACCCAAGGCAATTCAAAAACAAGGGGAGACAGAGCCACCTGGGGAGACACTTGGCGACCCTTTTGAAATGTAATTGCGACCCATATTTGGGTCCTGACCCATAGGTTGGGAAACTCTATAGCTAGAGCTCAGTCCTGCCAACTGCTCTGTATCGATGTACCCACAAAACCTATTGATTTTATTTTCAAAGTACAGCCACTAATTATTCAAAAAGTTTTACTACAAGCAGATAAACCAAGTGGTCTGACCTCTCCAATCTATTTCCTCCCTTGCACCACCGTAGAGCCCATGGCAACATCAAGGCCTTTGCCTAAATGCACCTCTGTTGGTGCTCCACATGGCGTGGCCTCTCCAGCCCCGGGGAGGGAAGAAGGCAGACGGTGTGTTGCATGGCCCCAGCCTCCCTAACTCTGGAGGAGGTCGGAGGGTGCACGCTATGCAGCATGCCCCAGCCTTCCTAGCTCCGGAGGACGTGCCGCATGGCCTGGTCCAGTCCTGCCTCTCCAGCCCCACAACATAGGGAGGGCAGGTGCTGAGGGCAGCAACACTCTGCCCCAGAATGCCTACTGCAGATGTTCTGGGGGTGGAGTGTGGGCGCAGCTATGCCTGGTGTTTTGGAAAAGCAGAGCCTTCCCCCACCTTACATACTGGATGCTCATGGCTCTAAATATATAATGTTTAACTTTGCATACCTGTCTCCCAGAACTCCGCAAAGGAAGGTTGTCTGGAGACTGGTCCAAAGAGCATGACTTTTTTTTGGTCCGTACCCTTCCAGTTGACATTGTCTTATAGGATCTGAAAAAAGAAGTCAGAACATCATTAATATTATAAAACGGTTTCGTTTGAGAGGACTAATTAGATATTACATGAACATGCACTATTACATTGGCAAAAGCTAGTTAGTTAAACTAAGTCCATTTGTACCCATTAATGAAAAAAAGAAAAGAAAAAGGAGGTAGGCAGGAAAGAGGAACAGTAACTTTATTTTAAACTGAGTTCAATGTGAACATGTAACATCAGATCCTCAAATAGTGTAAAACGGCATAGGGATGGTTTTACTTAGGCACTGCTTAATCTGCCTCAGCACAGGGGGACTGACTAGATGACCTGTTGAGGTCTTTTCCAGCCCTTCATTTCTATAGCTGTATTGATTTCAATGGATTTAAGCAGATTTGCACCACCTGAAGACTTAGCTGATAATTATAGTTCAGAAAGTGAATAAGCATAAGCTCATAATGCAAGCTTTATACTGTTATTCTCAGTGACATTGCTCCTACACCCACTGATTTGGGGGAGGGAGACGCTGAGGAATTTGGATTGTATAGCAACTTTTAACATCATGTATTTGATCTGTTATTGAATGTGAAGTGAAGGACAAACTAAATGTATTTTGAGACTTGCATACCTTCCTATGAAAGTACTTGTTCATTTGGAGTCTAGACAATTTTAGTTGTGTTGTAATTACATGCAGTTATAGTACTTCAAAATGAACAGTGCATGTACTGTAATACACATGATAAATATAATGAAGTCTTAGTAATTTGGGACTTCACTAAAATTCTCAGTGATTAAATATTTGATTAGAAGTGGAGAAGAAACCACCATTTATTGCATATGTTCTAAGGTGTGCAGGCAGATCTTGGTATATAAAAACATAATAAATATGCTATAGCCAAGTACATTCTTTACTCCTAGGAATGAAATACAAGCACAAGAGAACATAGAAAAAGAACTGAAAAAAGAAAAAGACACAAAGGAGAAGTGATACCATAAAAAGCTACCTATATTAGTCCACTGAACTGAGAATTCATTCTGCATTATTGAGTTATCAACTATAGCCTTATGCAGTTCATAATTTCTATACTTGTGAGCCTTTCCAATTATCAATCACTGCCATTTCTACATCTATCATTTGTATCTTATTATGAGAAGCCAATTGCCATTGAAATGCTCATAGCAATTTTCTTGTGGGGAGGCATTAAAGTGAAGTTAAGTTAGACAATAATGGGTGTTCATACAATGAGTGGACTTGAATTGATCAATTAAACCAACAAACTTTCCTCAACCGGACCTGAAAAGATTAGACTGAAGTGCTTATGGTGGTGGGGGGGGAAGGGGGAGTGAGAAATCACACAATAAGTAAAGGAAAAGGACAGAAGAAGTTTGGACAAACCAACATATTATCCTCCTTTTATATACCTTGAAGTGTAATCTAACCTAATCAATTAGAATAAGATAATTAAAAGTGTGGGGCTCTGTAGTGAACTAAATGAAGAACAATGTCACCACACCATAATGGGTAACATCTCACTTATATATGGAAAAATACAGTCTGTATTTTCCAGTGTTTTTCCTAGGCCAGTGTTTCTCAAATTGTGCTCCGCGGAGCCCCAAGGCTCCGCGAGACATCTCCAGGGGCTCCGTAAGGTTGACAAACTGGAAACATTGAAAGGTACAACACATACAATCAGTGGACCACTGGGGCTCCGCATAAATTTTTACGCATGTAAAGGGCTCCGGAGCCCAAAAAGTTTGAGAACCGCTGTCCTAGGTGTACACACACCTCTCTCTCTTTTTCCTGGAATCTCTTTTCAGAAGTGGGTGTAACTTGTATATCCTTTGCAGAGTTTTACTTGGTAACAAAGTAGTTCTTTAGCAATGAAGCTTGTGCTTTACGTGGCTAGACATGCCTGTTTATAAACTATATTTTCCTGAAGAAAAATTACCAATATACATAGAGTTTGGTGAACCTAACTTGAATTGAGTATTTAACAGTTACCACTAGGACAACTGCTGACAGAAGAGACAAAGAGAAGGTAATTGTTCCAGTTATTGTTACAAAATGGCTGGCATACTTATACTAAGTATCAAGAAGAAAAATAGCAATAGGTTTAGATATAAAAGAACTGTCATACCTGGTTACACATTCTGCTTACTGGATCCAGTGGTGAAAGGGGTGGAGAATGGGTAAATTAACCTAAAGCCAACATTCCTCAAGTGAGGAGTAAACTTTGTCCACATTTTTCCTCAGCTACATTACCAGATCCTGAACAGGCAGGGGGGTAATCTACCACCCTCCAAAAACTTCCTTTCCAGTAGCAAATTATTTTGTTATTCTATGCTAGACATTATATTTATCTTAATACCATTATAGTAGCCATTTAAGTGGGTCTAACCCACAAAAGGTCATCACCTAATAAACCATCTTTTTAGTCTTTAAAATGCTATATAGTCCTGTTTTTTTGTTTCAGCTACACCAGACTAACACAGCTACATTTCTCTCACTATTTTGAAAAGGAGACATTTATGATACATTAAAAATGTCACAATATGACACAATATGTTATAGACTGCTATATGGGAAAATATTTTAGAGTTTAAACATATAATAACAACTAATGCATCTGAATGACACTGGGATCATGACATTAATATGATAAACAGGATTTTAAATGATCAAAAATGTTGTATATATGCGCACATTTAAATGTATCCACTGAGAAAAAAACATTTTTCAAATCTATTTTGAAAGAAAAAAAACCAAATGAAGTTTAAAACACATCAACAAAGCATTTGACAGACTATGTCAACCCACCGACTTCAAAAAGAATCCTAAAGCTACGGAGCACAGCAGGTGGGACTTGCAGGAAGAGAAATCTATCTATGCTCTGCAGGAGCTGGTTTCTGCTCACCTTGGATCCAAATCACCCAAGAGCTGGATATTTAACGAACGCGTCCAAAGCACTTCCAACTAAAGCTGCAATAACGGGAAACCACGGTAAGGTCGAGCAATAGCCCCTCCCTAGAAACGATGCCTGAGCTCTGGAGATAACCCCCCCCCCACACCTGCCCGAAATCTATCTATGCTCTGCAGGAGCTGGTTTCTGCTCACCTTGGATCCAAATCACCCAAGAGCTGGATATTTAACGAACGCGTCCAAAGCACTTCCAACTAAAGCTGCAATAACGGGAAACCACGGTAAGGTCGAGCAATAGCCCCTCCCTAGAAACGATGCCTGAGCTCTGGAGATAACCCCCCCCCCACACCTGCCCACCCCCTAGCGCCGCTGCTCCCCCCAGACACTCCCCAGAGAGACACGCCTCCCCACGGCCTCCCAGGTAGGAAGACGCTCGACTCCCCGATGCACACAACTCCCCCCAATCC